ACCAATGCGTGCCTCCTTTTTCATTCGCTGTGTAGTCTATCTCTCTCAGCACACGTGGGTAAGCACGCAAGCACACACACACCCACGCACACGCATACATACATACATACATACATACATACATACATACATACATACACACATACATACATACATACACACACACACACACTCTCTCTCTCTCTCTCTCTTTATCCTCCTCTCCGCCATCTCTCACCCTGCTTCGCCTCTAAGTGCTGTCGCTCCCCTCCCCTTCCTACTCGTACTAGGCGGCATTACACCAAGTCTCAGCATGTGGGGTCTACTTTGCTGTTTTGGGGCTTTGTTTGGACATGGCGAGCTGTTATCTTTTTCCTTGCGGCTGTCGTCGCTGTTGCCATTGTTGTTTAGATACCACGGTGAGCCAGCAGTAAGTGCCGGTGTTGGCGGGCTGGCGACCTTGTCTTACTTTCAGTAATTAACACTTTACCCGAGGTGCGAAGGATTAATCTGTCACAACCGCGCAGGGCATATTGCAGACACGCGTATGTGCGTTACACACACACACACACACATTATGCGCACCCGGCAGGCAGGGCGATTGGCCCATGCGGCTTATTCAGTTGTACTAGCGGAGGCAGGGGCAATTCCCCTTCGTAATCGCCCGTGCGGCGGAATACCCGGCGGCCTGATACGGCGGCGTTGCGAGCAAATGCAGGGGTGGTTCCCTTTTGAGCTCTGTTTGTGGCGGCGGCAGAGGCAGGGGCAGCGCCCCTAGCCCATGCGGCGGTTGACCCGGCGGCCCGACATGGCAGTTGACCCAGCGGTCCGATATGGCAACTGACCCGGCGGTCTGATATGGCGGCTGACCCAGCGGTCTGATATGGCGGCGGCTGACCCAGCGGTCTGATATGGCGGCTGACCCAGCGGTCTGATATGGAGGCTGACCCAGCGATCTGATATGGCGGCTGACCCAGCGATCTGATACGGCGGCTATGCGAGCAAATGCAGGGGCAGCGCCCCTTTGCGCGTGTTGTTTGCGGCGGCATTGGTCAAGGCAGGGGCAGCGCGCCTCGCCTGGGTGGCGTTATGCCCGGCGCTGCGGCTATGTTTGCAAAACGCAGGGGCCGCTCCCCTTTGAGCTTTGTATGTTCACAGCTATGTTTGCAAGATTTAGGGGCAGCTCCCCTTGGGGCCTGGTACAGTTATGTTTGCAAAAAGCAGGGGCAACTCCCCTCCGAGCCTTGTATGTAATCGTTTACAGCGATGCTTGCAGAAAGCAGGGGCAGCTCCCCTTAGTGCGTGGTATGTTTACAGCTATGTTTGCGAAGAAGAAACAAAAAAAGGGCTTGGAGCTGGGTATGTTTACGGCCACGTTTGCAAAATGCAGGGGTAGCTCTCCTTGGAGCTTTAGCTAGTTGACAGCTACGCGACAAAGTGCAGGGACAGCTCCCCTTGGAGCTTTGGATGTTTACAGCTATGTTTGCAAAATGCAGGGGCAGCTCCCCTTGGAGCTTTTAAAACTAGTTTACAGCTGTGCGGACAAAATGCAGGGGCAGCACTCCTTGAAACTTTGGATGTTTACCACTATGTTGGCTAAATGCAGGGGCAGTTCCCCTTGTCGCTTGGATGTTTACAGCCAGGTTTGCAAAATGCAGGGGTAGCTCCCCTCAGAGCGTTGTAGGTTTACAGCTAGGTTTGCCAAATGCAGGGGCAGCTCCCCTTGGAACTTTGGATGTTTACAGCTACATTTGCAAATACAGGGGCAGCTCCCCTTGGAGCCTTCTACGTTTACAACTATGTTTGCAAAATGCAGGGGCAGCTCCCCTTTGAGCTTCGTAGGTTTACTGCTAGGTGTGCAAAACGCAGGGGTAGCTCCCCTTTGGAGCTTTGGATGTTTACAGCTATGCTTGCAAACTGCAGGGGCAGCTCCCCTGGGAGCTTTTGAAGTTGGATGTTTACAGGTGTGGTCGCAAAATGCAGGGGCAGCTCCCCTTGGAGCCTTGGATGCTTACAACTATGTGTGCAAAATGCAGGGACAGCTTCCCTTTGAGCTTTGTTGGTTTACAGCTAGGTTTGCAAAACGCAGGGGTAGCTCCCCTGAGCTTTGGATGTTTATAGCTATGCTTGCAAAATGCAGGGGCAGCTCCCCTTGGAGCCTTGGAAGTTTACAGCTATGCTTGCAAAATGCAGGGGCAGCTCCCCTGGGAGCATTGGATGTGTACAGCTATGTTTGCAAAATGCAGGGGCATTTCCCCTTGGAGCTTTGTATATTTACAGCTAGGCTTGCAAAATGCAGGGGCAGCTCTCCCTCGGAGCGTGGTTTGTTTGCAGCTGAGATGGGGAGTGCAACCGAAGATCTCCTTTCGAGCTTGCTTGTTCGCATTTGCTTTTTAGCACCGTAGCTCGGGCACCCAGCAGGTCCTGACTGGCCTCTAGCGCATACTCCCGGCCACATTTATTGCCTGTTGCAGGATAGGGGCCTCACCCCATATTTTTTTGGACGATCGGCGGGCGGGAAGCCGTCATTGACCTAAGAGGCAAAATACAAGAATAACTGAGAAACTAATAATTGTATACAACGCGCCAACCCCTTTGGCTCTGTTGTCGGCTCTGCGGGGGGCACCCAGGTATCCTCCTCGTGCGAACACCACCCGTGGAAGCGGAAAAGTTGTGACGGCGTATTCAGTAGTGCCCAGCACCAGCAAGACCTACCAATCAGGGGAAAGCCTAGCAGTCCTTCATGGCAATTCCCTTGGTAGACCCCCTCAATCTGACACAGGATCTGGCCACCAGGAAGGGGCCTGGTCGGCAGCTCCAGGTCACCGGAAGGTGGTCAGGGTTGACCCGCAAGAGATGCATGTGCGGTGGAGCCTGTGACTAAATGGCCACCCCTTGGGGCCAGAGAAAGCGGTCTTGAGGGGCAGGTGGTCCTTAGTTGGAGGCTTGCACCGCAAACTATGAATGTGAGACTGTCCGTGCCCGGCGAAGGTGTCCATAGTATCAGGCGGGTAGCTAGTCACACTTGTATCCAACACGACAGCCCTTCGGCTGTTGTCTGCCCGGCTTGGGGCGCCCAGGTATCCCCCCGTGCGAACACTACCCGGGGAAGCTGACAAGTCGTCAGCGTATTCAGTAGTGCCCAGCACCAGCAGGAGCTACCAACCAGGTTAAAGCCTAGCAGTCCTTCATGGCAATGCCCTTGGTAGACACCCTCAAGCTGACACAGGATCTGGCGGCCAGGAAGGTGCCCGGACGGCAGCTCCAGGCCGCCGGAAGGTGGTCAGGGTTGACCCGCAAGAGATACATGTGCGGTTGAGCCTGTGGCTGACGACCACCCCTTGGGGCCAGAGAAAGCGGTCCTTAGTGGCAGGTGGTCCTTGGCTGCAGGCTTGCACCGCACAACCATTATGAATGTGAGACCGTCCGTGCCCGGCGAAGTGGTCGGTAGTACCAGGCTGGTCGCTGGTCACGGTGGTCTTTAGCTACTGGTTTCACTGTATACCGAATCAGGCATGCCATCACAGGTCTACAGCGAACAGCACAGAGATCGACGGGACCAAGAATAGGGGATAGCGTGCGGCGAGGCCACCCCCATTATTTTTGGGAGGCACGGCTTCATGTTAGAGCAGTAAATTGCAGTTAGGGACTCAGCTGAGTCAAGCTGGACTCAGCGTGTCAAGTTTGGCATAATACAATAAGCGCGCTATCCCCAAACAGTTGTGTGGTTATTGTGTGAGTGTAAATGCAGGAGTCCGCGGTCACGTGAGGGGGGAGTGATAATTATTATTATAGTTTCCGTGGAGATATTGCTTTATTATCATATGCCACCGGGATATTGTAGAAACAGTGACTGTAGAATTGTAGTACTGAAGTACATGGTAGATATATGTACTAGTACATGTAAAATAAAGATTACTCTTTATTATGATTATTATGTATACACACTATGTAGTCTACCATGTACTGTGTATACGCACGTCGCAAGAGAAGCACACAAATCTGCAAATGCACCACCAGATGTGCACCCACAGGTTTTCTCTTATAGCAACGATAGCGGACAAGATCTGAATGAGACAGATCAAGACTACCGCCAGATCTAGCGCCAGATAACTGGCCAATCCACACAACCTGCAAAGCCATGTGAATCGACCACCAATGCACACCTGGTCTACACCACACGGAGTACATTGGCATACAACAGCCAAGACAGTTACCTATGCACACCCTACACTTGCTGGGGTAACCAATAGACATCAAGCTGCTTTGATAGAAGCAGACACTAGATGCACTGGTACCATGAAGTGAAATTGGAGTTACTTTACCAACCAGCCACGGCTACGGAGTACTGGGAACTAGGGCTCAAACGGTCACGGTTTTACCCCTAACGGTTAACTGCTAAGCTAACGGTCGGACCTATGAGCCACGGCAATCATGCGGGCTCTTTTTTAACCGTATATTTGACTATACTCATTCAAAAAATGTACCCTATTCAGTACAGCGCACACATGTACATTCTCTTGCATGCTCATTCATACATACTCTCACACCAAGAGACCAGATATGACCGAGTTGACAGCTCAGAAATTGCGTACGCTTGTGACAGCCTGCGAAAGTGCATACTTTGCAACGACCTGATACTTAGAAAATCGACTGAAAAGTTACTCTGAAAACGTTATCTTTATCGGTTAACCGTTAATGCTTCGTAACCGGTCTGCAACCGGTTAATCGGACTAACTGTTTGAGCCCTACTGGGAACCAAGAGCTACCGGACATACCAACAACCTCAGCCACACGCAGACAGACAGTACAATGAATTATGTAGTTTTGACGTGACTGGCCATCTTGAGCAGAGCTGTACCCTGGTATTGCACTACTGCCTGTACCAGTAATGTTTGCCCGGGTTTCGTGCAAACCAGTGCTCACACAAGGGACTGGCTGCAGTGCCTGCCTGCAGCACATCACCTGGCGGCTGCTTTCCTAAAGCACGACATAATTCTTACAAACGCAATTCTCCGAACTTCCAGGCTCCATACGTACAATTCCAACACACTGAATAAAATATCCCCGCATCCCAAAGCTTTCAAAGGATCAGTTACAAAGCATAAAAAATAATGCTGGCAAAATCGTTTATATTATAAAGTGTTTGCGAGCATAGTGCGAGCATCCATGGAAGCATGATTCCACAATTTCGCGATCATAATTCGCCGTAGTCTACAGGTTGAACGAAGTGTCAAAATTCTGTGAAGGAAAAACCACCCAAATGTGTACGAATCCATATGAAAACTGGACCGAAAAAGTCAGCGCTGTCATGGTTATGGGCTAGCTGCAACATAGCACTCTTGAGTCCAATAATTATCGGAATAATATGGAAATAATTTAAAGTAAGAAAAGGACCAAGGAACTACTTGTACAAGTTACGTTATAGTGTGCACTACCATCAGTTACCTGACAATCAGCTCATGCGATAACATTGCACGACGGTACTGACGTTCTACAAATAACTGGCTATCAGCTATAGCCTGTCTTGGATGCGCACTCCAACAGACGGAATCTGGGTCTGAGAGTCGAAACTAAAATGAAGCTTTCGCCAAAGTATGACAGAAAGGCAGAGATGTCCAAAAGTTTTCAGCGATTTGATGGATACCATGGGCTCACATACTTCGAACCAGTCAATTGGCATGTGCAAACAGGGATGCAACATTTCCACTGCTGCTCGGTGTGTGGAAAAAAGAAGAAGAAAAACAACATCTTTCTTGCTAAGGTGCTCACTTTGTGAAGTGTACTGCATGCTGTTTACTGCTGCTGAAGACTGAGCCGCTCTTACTGATGCTTGGCATTGCTGCTGTGAGCAGTCTGCCCACTAGTTTTCAAATGAATACAGACACTGTCTGGTGCAGCAGATGCGGTGTTTGTTGCTACCATGGCCACTGTTCTTGCTGCTGTGTCTGTTTCAGTCAGTGGTTGCTGCCATGGCAACTGCTCTTGTCACTGTGTCTGCTGCAGTGTTAGCTGCAATGGCAACTGCTCTTCCTGCTGAGTCTGTTGCAGTGGTAGCTATGGCTAGCTCAGCTGCCGTATCTGCTGGTTCTGATACATCTGCTGGGCTAGCTACTAGGCGACCATCACCATGTACACGGGCAATATTGCAGGAGCAGACTCCATATCCATGATACCCTCAAAGGTCTATAGTCACAATGCAGGACAGCTGCTGCATCCATCCACACAGGTCTAGCGGCTGCACGGACTGGATCACGTGACATATGGAAGGTCAGGAAAGCTGTTCTCTGCAATGGACAATTCCAACAGCAACTGTTGCTCACATACACCAGCAGAATGCTGGCTGCTCTCTGGCTTGAGCTGCAACTGGATGTCTACAACCGTAGCATTCTTTCACACCACGGTAAGTGTAATGGTGACTTGCAAAGACGGTGCAAAATTCGCAATGAAGCCATGTACATCGCTTGGAATGGTAGACGAGACGATTTGCACAGGCAAGCTGTACAGGAATGAGCAGAAAAGAAGCACACACATATACAAGAAACACACACACACACACACACACACACACATATACAAGAAACATACATACACACGCACACAAACACACACATGCACGCGTGCATACACACGCATGTACACACACACATACACACACATACACACGCGCACACACATACACAGGCACACACATGCACGTGCGCACACACACACACACACACACACACACACACAGCAACTATGTGACATTACACACACACCTAAAGGAGGCCTATTCGTATTTTTTTGAACTTGGAAATCATCCCACTTATGGGCTCACCACATATCAGTAAGTGGGCGAGGACAAGGTGCAAAAAAAGGATTGACGGCATCAGAGTATACGTCCCGGGATCCAGCTGCAGTTACCCCTGCCCCCAGTGAAGGTAATATGTGCTACTAGTGTGCATGGGTGGCTAAATTAGAGTGGTTCTGGTATAAGCTTCATTAGCACCATTGATTACACGAGAGTTATAATCTAGCCAGAAGCAGTCACATGCCCATGCACACACACACACACACACACACACACACACACACACACACACACACACACACACACACACACACACACACACACACACACACACACACACACACACACACACACACACCTGCAGACCCAAATTTTGCATTGTGGCTTACCTCAGGTTTAGGAGGACTCTATCTGCGAGAGGAGATGTTCGCTCTCAAAGCACTGGTTATGTCAGCTAGACTATGACATGAGCCAAACGAACATCAAGCCTAAAGAACAGCAGCAGAGGGGTCACACACAAACACACAGACACAGACACAGACACACATACACACACACACACATACACACACACACACAAACACACGCATCCACGCACACACATGTACTCGCACTCGCAAACGCACACATACACACACACACACACATACAAACACACACACACACACATGCACGTACACAAACAAACACACATACACACACAAACGCACGCACGCACTCACCCCCCCCCCCCCCCCCACACACACACACACAAACGCACGTACGCATGCACACACGCACACCTGTACGCGCACCTGCACACACACATACAGACACACACGCGCACACACACGCGCACACACACACACACGAATATGGACACACATGCACACACATCCAGACATTAACTACAATACACAGAAACTTGCGGTACAGGGCAGTGCTGGCCAGCGGAGTAAGAGGCTACACACAGAGAGATTCAGAGTCAGGATCTTGGCAGACCCAAAAGAGTCTAGATATGTCCGAGGGACGGCGACTGAGGGCCCTGAGTAACCGGAAATGAGCGTGGCCAACACCCTTTTTATTCCCTTTATCAAAGTAAAGGGTGGACACTGCCGGAGAAGAATCCACGAGAGACTTGTCAACTGCCGGAGCAGGATCTTGCCAGAGCCAAGAGAGTCTAAGACTTGTTGACTGCCGGAGCAGGATCTTGGCGGAGCCAAGAGAGTCTAGAAATGTCAGAGGGACGACGACCCATGGCCCTGAGTAGCCGGAAATGAGCGTGCCCAACTCCATCCTTTTATACACTTTTTCAAAGTAAATTAGTGATGAGAAATGGGAGGTGGGAGGGTGAAACACAACAAGCAGACAAGAATAATCCACATACAGTACGGATCGAAATCTATAGCAACGCGATCTCTAGCAAGTCACGTCGAGCAAACGTTGAGCAAACGTCGCATGACGCCCACATTGAGCGCCACATATAAATGCCATGGTGAATGCCACGTCGCACGTCGCCAACACATTGAATGTCACGTTCAATGACGCGTAAAGTGTCACGTGACCTAGAGTACCATGCGTGCATGCACAATGTTGTTTGGCCCACATGGTCACTGTGACGTGCAGTGCACGCGACCGTAGACAGTAGCAAAGCATGAGTATACAGCAACAGCACTATCAAATATAGCAGCATAGTTTGAGCGGTACACAAAACTGCGTGCACCCATTAATCTGCATTATCACCATAATGCTACACACACACACACACACACACACACACACACACACACACACACACACACACACACACACACACACACACACACACGCGTGCGCCCTCACCTGCAGACCCAAATTTGCATTGTGGCTTACCTCTGGTCTAGATGGTCTCTATCTGCGAGAGGAGATGTTCTCTTTCAAAGCACTGATTGATTTGTGTCAGCTAGACTATGAGATGAGCCAACCGTACACCAAGTCTAAAGAACAGCAGCAGATGTATAACACATACACACACACACATACACACACACACACATACACACACACACACACATACACACACATACACACACATACACACACATACACACACATACACACACACAACCCATCGACCATTTGACGCCCATCGCCAGAGGCGAGGATAGCGATGCTACAGCAGACGCCATAGCAACTTGTGCTGGGATTGCACCATTCAACAGCTTGCAAGGCTGAAGAATTGACCACCACTACCCATCCTGGTCTACACCACACAGCTATGAAGTGGCTTTTTCTGGCCAGTGAATCCCAACTTTTTGGTCTTTTCCGTTTTTTTCCGCACACACATCGCACCAAATACTCCGGCATGCACTGGCTGTTGGTAACCACCCAGGAGAATGAAAGAAAAGTCAGGAGTGGTCTAAGAAAGAGAAGAAAGACGTGTGTTACCATAATCGTCGGGAATCGAACCCGCAACCTATTGACTAGAAATCGCTGCACATACCATTGCACCATATGGGACACACACACACACACACACACACACACACACACACACACACACACACACACACACAACGCATGAATGCATGCACACAAACAAAAAAACACACACACACAGACTGAGACATGCCAATCGCGGAAGCGATGATAGCAAACAGCTATGTTAGACATAGCAACTTGTGCTGGGATTACACCATTCAACAGCTTGCAAGGCTGATGAATTGACTGCCACTATTTTTAGCCTGGTATGTACGCACACACGCACACGCACGCACACACACGCACACACACACACACATATAAACTACAACAAAAAGCAATTTGCGCTACGAGGGAGTGCTGGCAAGCGGAGTGAGAGGCTACAGAGAGAGAGAGATTCAGGGTCGGCAGGGTGGACACTGCCGGAGAAGAATCCACGAGAGACTTGTCAACTGCCGGAGCAGGATCTTGGCAGATCCAAGAGAGTCTGAGACTTGTCGACCGCCGGAGCAGGATCTTGGCAGAGCCAAGAGAGTCTAGAAAGGTCAGAGGGACGACGACCCATGGCCCTGAGTAGCCGGAAATGAGCGTGCCCAACACCATCCTTTTATTCACTTTATCAAAGTAAATTAGTGATGAGAAATGGGAGGTGGGAGGGTGAAACACAACAAGCAGACAAGAATAATCCACATACAGTACGGATCGAAATCTATAGCAACGCGATCTCTAGCAAGTCACATCAAGCAAACGTCGAGCGAACGTTGCATGACGCCCACGTCGAGCGCCACATATAAATGCTATGGTGAATGCCACGTCGCACGTCGCCAACACATTGAATGTCACATTCAATGACACGTAGAGTGTCACGTGACCTAGAGTACCTTGCGTGCATGCACAATGTTGTTTGGCCCACATGGTCACTGTGACGTGCAGTGCACGCGACCGTAGACAGTAGCAAATCATGAGAATACAGCAACAGCACAATCAAATATAGCAGCATAGTTTGAGCGGTACACAAAACTGCGTGCACCCATTAATCTGCATTATCACCATAATGCTACACACAAACACACACACACACACACACACACACACACACACACGCGCGCGCGCGCGCGCCCCCTCACCTGCAGACCCAAATTTGCATTGTGGTTTACCTCTGGTCTAGATGGTCTCTATCTGCGAGAGGAGATGTTCTCTTTCAAAGCACTGATTGATTTGTGTCAGCTAGACTATGAGATGAGCCAACCGTACACCAAGTCTAAAGAACAGCAGCAGATGTATAACACATACACATACACACATACACACACACACACACACACACACACACACACACACACACACACACACACACACACACACACACATACACACACACATACACACACACACACACACACATACACACACATACACACACACAACCCATTGACCATTTGACGCCCATCGCCAGAGGCGATGATAGCGATGCTACAGCAGACGCCATAGCAACTTGTGCTGGGATTGCACCATTCAACAGCTTGCAAGGCTGAAGAACTGACCACCACTACCCAGCCTGGTCTACACCACACAGCTATGAAGTGGCTTTTTCTGGCCAGTGAATCCCAACTTTTTGGTCTTTTCTATTTTTCCGCACACACATCGCACCAAATACTCCGGCATGCACTGGCTGTTGGTAACCACCCGGGAGAATGAAAGAAAAGTCAGGAGTAGTCTAAGAAAGAGAAGAAAGACGTGTGTTACCATAATCGTCGGGAATCGAACCCGCAACCTATCGACTAGAAATCGCTGCACATACCATTGCACCATATGGGACACACACACACACACACACACACACACACACACACACACACAACGCATGAATGCATGCACACAAACAAAAACACACACACACAGACTGAGACATGCCAATCGCGGAAGCGATGATAGCAAACAGCTATGTTAGACATAGCAACTTGTGCTGGGATTACACCATTCAACAGCTTGCAAGGCTGATGAATTGACTGCCACTATTTTTAGCCTGGTATGTACACACACACGCACGCACACGCACACACACAAACACACACACACACATATAAACTACAACAAAAAGCAACGTGCGCTACGAGGGAGTGCTGGCCAGCGGAGTGAGAGGCTACAGAGAGAGAGATTCAGGGTCGGCAGGGTGGACACTGCCGGAGAAGAATCCACGAGAGACTTGTCAACTGCCGGAGCAGGATCTTGGCAGACCCAAGAGAGTCTGAGACTTGTCGACCGCCGGAGCAGGATCTTGGCGGAGCCAAGAGAGTCTAGAAATGTCAGAGGGACGACGACCCATGGCCCTGAGTAGCCGGAAATGAGCGTGCCCAACACCATCCTTTTATTCACTTTATCAAAGTAAATTAGTGATGAGAAATGGGAGGTGGGAGGGTGAAACACAACACCCCCTTCCTTTTTGACCAATGTTTTGGCAATTTATATCCTGACAGGAATAATCCACATACAGTACGGATCGAAATTTATAGCAACGCGAGCTCTAGCAAGTCACATCAAGCAAACGTCGAGCGAACGTCGCATGACGCCCACGTTGAGCGCCACATATAAATTCAATGGTGAATGCCACGTCGCACATCGCCAACAAATTGAATGTCACGTTCAACGACACGTAGAGAGTCACGTCATCTAGAGTACCATGCGTGCATGCACAATGTTGTTTGGCCCACATGGTCACCGTGACGTGCCGTGCACGCGACCGTAGACAGTAGCAAAGCATGAGCATACAGCAACAGCACTATCAAACATAGCAGCATAGTTTGAGCGGTACACAAAACTGCGTGCACCCATTAATCTGCATTATCACCATAATGCTACACACAAACACACACACACACACACACACACACACACACGCTCGCGCGCGCGCGCGCGCGCCCCCTCACCTGCAGACCCAAATTTGCATTGTGGTTTACCTCTGGTCTAGATGGTCTCTATCTGCGAGAGGAGATGTTCTCTTTCAAAGCACTGATTGATTTGTGTCAGCTAGACTATGAGATGAGCCAACCGTACACCAAGTCTAAAGAACAGCAGCAGATGTATAACACATACACATACACACATACACACACACACACACACACACACACACACACACACACACACACACACACACACACACACATACACACACACATACACACACACACACACACACACATACACACACATACATACACACACACATACACACACACACACACACACACATACACACACATACACACACACAACCCATTGACCATTT